GCGAGTTATTCTGGGAAGCAGGCTGGATGACGAGAAGCGGTGGGCTTTTGAGCTGCAGTTGTGACCGTTAGACACGGATGTGTGATGATGCTGGAGAAAAGTCAAGGAACCAAGAACAGCATCATCTGAAGAGTGAGAGCTTCTAGTAACTAACATCCATCCATCCATATTTTCTGTTTGACAGACGACTTCACTGAAACCATGGACACGTTTACATTCAGGCACTGACCAACTGTGTAAAAGTCACCGTTTTTGTCTTGAACTGGTCTTTCTTACCCAGGTTGCTGTAGGTCGCGCTGCACTGGCTGGAGGCGGTGGAGTGGTTTCCATCATCCTCGGGCTCTCCGAGGCTGGTGCTGCCCTCGCTGGCTGAAACCGGTACAGCAACCTGGCTGGCATGGCCATCCTTGCCCTCCCCAAACACCAGGCCCAGATTTACTTTGGCAGGCAGAGGGATGACAGTCGGCAGCTCCCCCCGACTTCTGGCGCTGCTCGCTGGTACCTGGCTGCACATGAGACAGAAACAGCAAGACAGTTTTAGTTCTGCATCATGACATACTTGCCACTCGTAAATTCTAGGTATATTTTACTCATTTCTAGTAACTCGTCTCCTGCTCTTTTGGCAGCTTGTAATTCTGCTTTGCACAAGTCCCATCACAAAAAAACAGTCTATCACTTCCATAAAATGTGTGGAATAAAATTAGTCTGCTGTTCTGTGAAAAACAACGTGTGTAGCTAAAAACAATGTTTTTAAACACAACTCATTTAAAATGTAAAGGGAAGTGGAAGAAGGAGAGTGTGGTGAAACTATGTAGTCCTCAGCTGAGAGCTGACGTATTTACAACGAGGTGAGATGAACTTTAACCAAATCTGCCTCAGATCTGCTCCTGCAGTGATCTTTATTACGACTTGCAGACACTGAACATGTGATATGTCCTTTTACAACCCGAGACAATAAACTGACAGTGGCTGAATGTTTTCTACAGCAGATGTGGTCACGTCTTACAGCTAAAGAATGTTTCATTGCGTTATCACCGTGAGCCTAAACTGAGGAGAACTCGTGTCAGTGTCAACATCCTGAAGTTACATAAAGCTGATCCGCAGTGACTGCTTTAAATACTGTCCTTCCATTAATTTTGTGCACAAATACATAATTAAACTGTGTTTACATTACTATTAGTTAAAATTAATAACTAAATTTAATTTTAGACTCTTCCCATTGGCTCCCTGTAAAAGTCAGAATATACGTTAAATCTTACTTTGAACATACAAAGCTCCCAACAACCAAACTTCATCCTATATCTAATTGTATCATATTTTCACAGCAGAGCACTTTTCTCTAAGACTGCAGGTTTACTTGCGGTTTCTTGAGTTTCCTAAAAGTACAAGCGGTATGCAAATGTCATCATGACATACTTGATCATAATGGCATGCAAATATGAATGCATTGTACCAGTTATAGATATGGATATATACCAGTTATGGATATATACCAGTTATAGATATGGATATATACCAGTTATGGATATATAC